CCCCCACCAAAAAAAAAGAATAAAAAAGGAAAAAAAACAATATTAAGGAAAGTGTTGCTGATATTTAGAGGTTAAGAAAGTCTTATTTCCAGAACTATCTACTTCTATCCTGTAAATTAAATTGGTTTTGTCTGTCTTCTGCAGTTACCGCCTCCGAAGGCGGCATTACATGCCCGAAGCTTCATGCGGACCTCTGAGAGTTGAAGAATGCATCTCCGCCAGATCATGGGGTTCCTGACTGAATAATTTCAGGCAGGCTTAGTTTCAGGTTAGATAGGTTTTGCGTCATTTTCCCTTTTTCCGTCCTTGTGTGATAAAAGCATGAATAGCTAATTTCACCTTAGCGTCAAAACTAGCAGCAACTTCTGTGAAATGGATGGTTATGTAGTGGGGATTCGGGATATGTTGTTTTGAATGCCATGATGAAAGAACTTGTCGACAATGTATCTTTGTATTGCTTTATATATCGTTTTGAGACATTTTTTTGATCTCTTAGCGCTACCAGTTATGTTGCTTTGTTGTGAATTCTCTCAAATGTATTGTGTGAAGCAATATACTTGGTAACTGGATTGCCTATTTTACTTATTTGCTTTGCTCTTTTTTTCCCGATTCGTCTTTTGTACTCCCTGTGAATGTTCTCGTTCCTGATCTTAGGATTTACCGATACTTTCAGTTGTATGGAGCTTTACGATACCTGTTGGCTGACTGGTTGTGATGATATACATTTCGTATACAGCAACCAAGTTGGTATATGTAGGTCAGCTCTACTTGCCTTTAGGAAAGGTGTGGCAGAGATTGAATTGGTCCTTCCTGAGACAAATAGGCCATTGACTGTTTAGAGCACAAGCAGTTCTATCCGCATGAATCATATGTTGGGGTCAGTTACATGCCTGATTGCAACGATATATAATTTGTTAGAATCATACTCTTCACGAGCTCTGAAGCACGGATTCGCCCCCGGAGGCCACGGATCCGTGTCCGACTCGAATCGGACACGGATTCGTCACGACACGTGCATGACACGTGTCGGACACGGTCAATCCGTGTCCGACACGGGTCAACGGTTAAATTGGGCTCGGACACGGTCAAAGGAGCTCGGACACGGCTCGGATTCGCCGAAGACCGTTTCATTTGGATTGCGGGTTTGGTTGTTAAAATCCAACCCGAACCGTTCGATTAAAAAACCCATCCCTATTTCTCAAATCTCCCGTTCGATTCGATCCTCAGCTGACTCAAATGAAAAAAATAAGAAAAAACCCTAACCCTAACCCTAATCCTCTCTCTCAATCTCTCAACTTCCACTTCATCTTGAGGTACTTTTTGTTTACAAACTTGTTATTTTGTGATAGATTCATATTTTAGATTGTTAGTTGAATTTTATAAATTTTTCTATATATAATAATATTTTTTTTAAAATCCTTGCCGTATCCCCGTATCCTATTTTTTTTGGATTTTGTCGTATCTCGTATCCGTGTCCGTGTCGTATTCGTGTCCCATATCCGTATCCGTGCATCATAGTTCACGAGTATGACTGTGATTTGAGAGAGGGGCAGAGGTCATTTGTTCATGTATTTTGCTCACGAAGATTTCTTTTTACGTGTTGACCCAGCTAATAAGTTTGTCCTCTTTCAACTCTTGGAAAGATACGTACGTAGGTCACCCCTCAAAAGGTGGTACAAAGACCACTAGCATTGTATGATTGTAGTCGTGATGGTTTACTTTCCAATGACGTCTGTTCATTAACTGCTTGATGTACCAAACGCAGAGAAGAATTCTTGACTTCTCGATGTATCATTTTGATAAAAGAAATATGATTTGAAATGTACTGACCGGGGAGTAGATAGAAATCAGTGATAATTTCTCTTTTGCTCCAGGTAACACCAGAGAGCAGCACATGCGTTGCAGTATTACATCGCATTAAATATGGTTTTAGCTTGATTAGATTTACCCTGGACTTTTGTGCAAGATTCCTGACAATCTGGGGAACCAAAGCCCCATTAAATAGGCATGGAATGCTTCTGAGGTCTACGCTGTCGTACCCTCAAAACTCCTCCTCTACATAAATCACTTTTTCAAACGACGTCGCTCTACTTTCCCCATGAATTCAAGAGCTGATATTAATTGAATCCTTGCAATAAACCCCCAAATTGATGGCAGAAGACAAAAAGCCTCGCTTGCTCATCTCTCTTAATAATTTCTTGGTATATACACCAATATCACAGACATACACACAAGGGGGCAAGACTCCCAGTGGGATGTCATTAATGCCGCGAGGGAACTAAACAGTATTATCCTTTGAGCTTTGCTACAGGGACCCAAAATATGGGACCAATAGAGGGGACAAGTGATGTGTCCCCCTCTTATTGGATAATGAGTTGACCACCATTAATGATGGCCAACTCATTATCCAATAGGAGGGGGACACCTCACTTGTCCCCCCCTATTGGTCTCATATTTTGGGTCATTGAAGAATTTTTCTTATCCTTTTTACCTCTTATTAATCCCCAAGCTAATCTCATCGGTAGAATGTCATCGAACAGAATCTAAGTTTGGGAGATTATTCATGGGAAATAGGTTGTGTGGCACATTTTCATGTTTTTCAAGCACATTTCATGACTTTTTGGGAAAAAATGAGTTTCCTTAAATTTGGGGACCATGACATTATCATCTTATTAGTGGGTGGCTCTCACATGCACGATGTTTTTTTTCCCTCTCTCAACCAAACACAAGAAAAGGAAATCAAACACCTTCACGTAGGTGTGCCGGGTGTTTTAATTTCCTTTTCTTAGTTTCTCAGCAAACCAAACAGCCCCTAAAAGAATACTAGTGACAAAGGGAGCTATGGTTTAGGTGTGCAGGGCATTGGATAATGGAGGGGTAAATGTATATTTCTTTTTTTTCTTCATTCCACAATGTAGAGGGAGCACTAGAATCAAAGGGAGCCCCTACCAAAGTAGTTAATGCATTTAGTTTTTTGATTTGTTGTGTGGTGCTCTTTCTGTTCCCTGGTTCCATGCATGTGATGTGGACCTCTCACCAGTGGAAAGAAAAGGCAACATGTGTATCTTCAGCTCGGAATGGAAGCATCTAGACCCCACTTTTCCCCCTAATGTTTTAACGCATGTCATACTACGCATACACAAATAGAAAAAAAAGTCTATTTGACAACTCTCACTTAAAGTGTGGTTCGGTGGAATAAAACCAATTCACGAAAAATTAAATCAGAACATAATTAAATTGATTTTTTTGTTAGGCTAGTTCTAGCTTTACTGGTTTTGTAGCAAATCTACATATGTACCTCTATGGCCATGAAGCATTATAACAAACTTTAACATTCTTAAGCAAATCCGCATGTGCATCCTATCGGGAAAGGGGGTCGCCAAACCCTCTATCCATATTGCTCTATAAATTTATTTTTCGTTACGCTAGTTTTTTTTTTTTGAATGAAAATAAGGCATACTGCCCTATCATGTATATATAAACCAAAAAAAGAGTTTTTACAAAAGATATCTGATTGTGATTTGGCCCGAGACTCCGAGTTGGAGGGTATTAGACCAAAGTGATTTGGCCCGAGACTCCGAGTTGGAGGGTATTAGACCAAATCACCAAAAGATGTCTCTATGAAGAGATCCAAAACAAAACATCCTCCGAGTTGGAGGGTATTAGACCAAATCACCAAAAGATGTCTCTATGAAGAGATCCAAAACAAAACATCAAACAGAAACTACAAAGAGCAGGGTATAACCAAATCTGAATCTGAAAAAACAAAAAAGAAAAGAACCGCTAACAAGGAGGCCACTATCCATGAGGGATTGGAAGACCATTGCTATCTGCACTTGATTCTGCAATATCGGGGAGCCCCGAGCTGAAGATGAGCTTGTTCAACTTACTAGCTATCTTGGAAGAGGAGGCACCTGTCCAGAAAAGAAGAAAATGAACAGCCTTGTTGATGATATGCTAAGGCGTAGAGGACTTATTAGAGAAGATGAAGTCATTCCTAGCTTTCCAAATGATCCAACAAACCGTAGGAAAACTGAAGCCCCAGAGAAGTCTAACGGATGAGTGGAGGGACTTGTCAGAACAGATAGAGAGGCAGTGGTTGATGCTGGTGGGAAGAGAGACAATACTAATTTTAGATAGCCAAGGTACTTGTTTTGTTTTGAATCACCTTTCTCTTAGACCAGAACTGGTTGATCGAGGAGAATAGGGGGTTGCCAAACCCAATCCGATCCGAGAGTATTTTAATTCAGAATAAAACTTGAAGTTTTAACTTATGATCAATTGTTCAAGGAAAAGTAAAAAAAGACAAGCATAAGAGGTAGTCAAATCTACATATACATCTTTATGCCCATGTAGCATTATAACAAACTCAACATTTTGATTTATGACATTGTTCTAATCAAATACATAGCCTTATGAGGAGGGAGAAAACTTTGTTTTGACTTGGAATATTTCTTGAGTAAGTGTGAAATAGTACTCCAACGGACAATGCATGGTATATTAAAATTTGGGATTGACAAATACAAACATGGATATATATATATATTATGAATAAATTTGATAGCAATAGGACCTGGACCATGAGTTATGGACCAACATACCATACATGCAAGCTTAATGTTTAAGTACTGGCTGTGTCTTGGCATTTCATTTGCATGTTAAGCTCATGTGTGCAAAGGGACCATTATTTTTTTCTCATACAGTTGTTTGGTTCAAAAGTCGCTGCTGTGGAATTCATTATAACTTTGTTCGATTACAACAAATTCGAAAGAATAATCTTTTTATAAGATTTTTTCTACACAACAAATCAAAAATTACAACTCTTGAGAAACAAACACGAAAATCGTCTATCAATTCTCGTTTTCGTGGGACTTTGCCTGTGCCGGGAACGCTTTGGTTCGTGGACCGCCGATTCACAGATCGTGAAGAGGGGGCTTATGATTCTAACTTCGTTATCGAAGTAGAAATTGAAACGATATCTTATCGAAGTAAGATAGTCGTTCTTCTTAAAATCAAGTCAAAGCTTAATTTCAAGGCGTTGCAAGAAAAGAACCCAAATCTCTGCTCTCTCTGCTCTGGAATGCTCTAACAAATGCTCGATCCTCGTCAGAAGTGACCCTAGGGGGGTATTTATAGCCTCAAGGGTCTGTAACTGCAAAAACTTAACAATCGAAGAAGTCAGTACGGCGAGACAGTGTTTACTGTCTCGCTGGGCGAGACAGCGTTTGCTGTCTCGACCCGCGAGACAGTAAATTTGCTGTCTCGCTCAGCGAGACAGTAAATGCTGTCTCGGAAAATGGCAGTTTCTCGCTGTAACTGTTCTTCCACGTTTCAAACTCCGTTATTTTGGCAGTTATCCACGTGATTTTCGCCCATGATGTTTCCCACGTCCCTTGGCAGTTAATGGACACGTGTAGGGCAGTTACAAATGTAGTTTTGACTATTTCAACACTGTCTCGCTGGCGAGACAGCAAAGACTGTCTCGCTGGC